GGAGATTGCCTCGCTCTTCACAGGCTGATTCTCGCGGGATTTTAAACTCATGGTGGTAGAGAAGTGCCCCGGCTGGCCGTTAGCCACGCGAGCCGGGGACTCTTGAAACTCTCGAAATTTTGATGCCAATGGTAGACTATTGCCATTTGTGAAAATGTCGTCGTCTTCAGTCGTTTGTAGTTGATTCAGCTTACGCGGAGGCTGACTGGGTGTTGGTGCTTTGTTGGTGGGGCTTGCTGGTATATTCGCGCGAGCAGCAGTCGGTGAGGATGCAGCCGAGTGTCGTTTAAACGGTGAGGATCTCGGGGATCCAAAAGACAATGGCGATGGCTTATATGGGCTCGCATTAGGGGTTGCCTGTTTGTCGCTCGTCAATCAACACTCAGCGAGGGGATGGGGAGGGTATCCAACCATTTTAATTTAGCTGCTAGTTTTAAGGCGCCGTGAAAACGTTCGGGGTGCTTCTGGGATAGTTCAGTGCATACCTATTCTCCGTGGCTTTGAGCTTCCAGCTTGGAATGTATCAGAGCCGGCGTTACCGAAATAGGCAAAAGCAAAACACTCGCATTATCATTTATCCGACTTCCCCGCAAGTATCGGAGCTATGATACTCCGCTCCGACGATCCCCAACCATGTGGTCCGTGCACAATATGTCTCGGCTTGCAGTTTGAGCGACGGCAAAGGCCTGTGAGCGAGGAGAAGAGCGATGGGACCTTGCTCGAGCGCTATGAGAATCGCAGCAGTAATGATTCTAATTAATTGATATTTTTGCTTCTTAAAAACGACGCTTTAATTCCCCGCTTGAGCTCACATCACACCTGGCGTGGGGTGCTGGACTTGTTTACCCCTGAGGTTGGAGATCTCCGCGCCTAGAGCGAAGCATTGATTGATGGCTGACGAATGTAGGGTGATTGACTTGTCCCGAGAGGGCTCCGTAGCGATGTCAGCGATTCTAGCTAATAGGCCGTCTATGAACGGCTCCCTCCATGAAAAGAGCAGGTCGGTCTCCTCGTTTCCCGCCTCGGCCCCGTCCTCGAGCCCGAATTTTGACAGTCCCCGGAAACTGCGCTCTCAAACGTCTCTTGGTCGGAAGTCCCCTGTCAGCTCGCAGGACTCCAGGCCACGCTCGGTGCTGTCGTACAGCAGTTTTCAGAAAGGAAAGCGGAGATGCAAACCTCAATATCCAGCCAATTCCGCAGAGCTCCATGTAGAATACATCCTCGTCGCCTCGTTCCATGTTGATCGTGGGCCAATTATGGAGCATCAGTATCCAGCTGCAATCAGTGGCGACGAGAATATGCTGGCCGAGTTGATGTTGCCTGACCAAACCCATGTTCGGAGTCAGGATTGGACAATGTTTTTCCTTCATAGAGACACTGGATCGGAAGACGGCATTGAAGACGGGGGTGATCCTCAGGATCAAGAAGAGAAAGCTGGAGATGAACCTGAAGAGAATGGCCAGGATGGCGCGAGGCAGACAGACGATGAAGATTCTGCTGATGACGATGGTTATGAGGACGAGGATTGTGGCGATGGCCCTCCATTGATGTATGTGCTGAACCTCGTCAATACGAAGCAGGATAATTCTGTGAAACGGTATGTTCGTTGCGCTTCCGATGCATCATGCTGCTGTTAACTTCATTTCAGGGGAGCGGTTGTCAAAGCCATGGCTATCTGTACTAGACATTCGTTTCTTCATATTTACAAGGTAAGGAGGGTTTTGTGCCTTTAAGCCTAGCCACAATTGCTAACGCATTAGTAGCCCCTTCTTTTACTAGCATTGGAGGACTATTTCAAATCTCCCTACCCTGAGACATTGGCCAGACTCTACGACTCTCTAAATGCCATGGATCTCTCTCTCATGCCTAGACTTTCGTATCTCGAACGCCATATTCTCCAAGCGACTGATGTTAAGGATATGTTCATTGAAAAGTTTGAACGAATGATCAAACAGCGCTTAGCCGATGAACGGGCTGCGTCCGAATTAGACGGAGCGGATGCAAAATCCTTTGTCCCCCTAAAATATACTCTACCAAGGGATACCCATGAGTTCGAATCCAAGATTATCTACAACGACATCGCTATTCCGGTCAAAATTCCAACCGCCGTCTCTCCAGAGACTGTTGGTGATTTTTCACTGATTAAATTAATACAAACCTTTTCTGGGCCGCACGCTTCTTCCCCTCAGGCGTTCCCCCTTCATCCTCATCTAACAACAAGCGGGGCGTTCACCCACCCGATTATCGTTCTAGTCAATGCCTTACTCAGTCAAAAACGAGTGATATTTCTTGGTCACAACCGACCATCTGGAGAAGTTGCTGAAGCGGTTCTGGCAGCCTGCGCACTTGCTTCAGGAGGCCTTCTTCGTGGGTTCACGCGCCATGCCTTCCCTTATACCGACTTGACGAAAATCGACGAGTTGCTCAAAGTCCCCGGGTTTGTCGCTGGTGTTACCAATCCGGCCTTTGCTAACCACCATGAATGGTGGGACCTCCTCTGTGACCTACCTAGTGGCCGGATGAAAATAAGTAGCCGTATTGAAGCCGCTCCGGCAACTGAGGGCACGCAATTTTTTCAATATCATGCTCCCTTGACGGCCTCATCGATACTTGGCGGGAGTAGCTCTGCTGCTTCGGACCCAACTGGGGATAACAATTTTATGGATGACATTCTGCGAAGCATTGCCTCACGGCACGGTGAGGGAGCAATTCGAGCTAAATGGAGAGCCTACATCACAAAATTCACTAGAATTTCTGCCGCGTTTGAAGAGGTCGTCTACGGGGCCACGGCTTTGCATGTCCTGGGTCCTGGCGAAGATGCTTCCGAAAACCAGTCTCCTTTGCAAACAAAGCACCCTGATCCGTCAATTCTCCGCGGCCACGGGTATGTTTGGCCTGACGAAAACACCAAGCACCGTGAGCTTGCTGCCTGGGTCAACCGAATCGAGGGTTGGAGAAACACTAGGTCTTACTACTATTTCATCCAGGACACGGCGGCTTTGTACCCGGTTAGCAAGCCAGTGCAAAATCTCGACCTACACCATCACCATGATAAACTACGCTATCTGAAGCTCAGTTCTGGCGAATCCGGGGCGATATATCTGGCATTCGCCAACGCCATTCAGGACTACAATTCCATCTGTCAGCTGATATCCGTTACGCCGGAAAGTCAAGCCGGCCTGTTCTATATATCCCTGGGGCTGTTTCACCCCGACGCTGTCGTTCGCACCGCCACTCTAGGTTTACTCGAGCGCATCGCTGGCCACGAAGCTGGAAGGCATCTCTGGGCGCAGCTAAGCAGGTTTACCAAAGTAGCCTATTTCCGAATGAAGCGGGACAGGGATGGGGAACTCAACGGTATTGAACCTCAGTCAGCGCTCATCCCACACAAAGCATTTTCACGGCAGCCACGAATTCAAGGCTCGCAGAAGTTAGGGCCATGCGGTCGATTTAGCGCGGTTCCTATTGCCATGTCCTGGTGCTGTGTGGGCTGATGACCATTAATGAATTTGGATTGATGATTTATGCTCTCATATTTGGTGATGATGTATACGATTCATTGAGGTCTTTAGTTTGTTTCATGGGCTGCCTCGCATAGCAACTATACCCATTGCATGTTTCTTTAACATCGTTCTTCTTGTTCGTTAGCCGTTTTCCATATCCGTTGGCTTGCATATTGACTATCACACTGTGAATCTAGATTCCAATAAACTTGCACTTTCCGAAAGCGTTGCGGTTGATAGTTGATGGTTTTGCTACACTCAATGGGGAAACTGGGCGTTCATGCTGTTTATAGTACCTACTTTCAATTTTCTATTAGAACATTCCTAAAGTTTTGTTTTGATTTCATCACATTATTAATATCAAAAATAAGTAATTTTGGGTGCTGGAAACAGCATTGGACAAAGAAAACAGATTAAAAAAGAAATAAAGAAGACATAATATACAGAAAAAAACCACGACGTGCGATTCCCAAACTCCGAGGCTATGATTTTCAAAAAAAAAGGCGGACGGTACGCGCTTGGGTATATTGATATCGGCCAAGCAGAAAAGAGAAACAGAAAAAAGAACAATAAGGACTGCAAGGCATGGCCGTGGCAAAAGAAACAAGTCTAGTAAAAAGACCAATATTAGAGGTTAGCATCACATGGAGCGAGCGGTCAAGACATATGCAGGATCAGGTATGCCAACAGCGGTACGGTTAGGTAGGATAAAGCACGCAAGGGCAAAGAAGCGGATACCGAAGCCGCGTTTGGGACGCTCTCGGAGACGAATCCCGGTCCACAGCCGATATTGATTTGTTGCGCGGCCTGCTTGTATGTCTGAGAAAGCGGCTGTTCCTTGAACCCCGCGCCCCGCGAGTATACCTCCATAGTCGCTTGTAGGCATTTATTGCAGACTGGGCGCGAACCGCCCGGGAGGCTTGTGCCCAGAGCGAGATGGTAGACGAATGTGTTCCCCGTGGTCTCTTCGGAGGATAATGCGTCTGCGAGGCAGTAGCTGCCCATGTCTGGGTTCTTGAGGCAGGCTGCATCGTACATGTACCTGTAGGCTACAAAGCCGTTTCGAGCAGAGAGCACGAGCGGGTTGTTGTTGGCCAGCTCTTGTCCGCAGATTTCTTTCGTGCTTATTTCCTTGCCGAGTTGAGCGAGCAGATTTGTGCATCTGGCGACGTCCACGGAGCAGGAGGCGTCGAGGACGCGCGTGATGGAGACGAAGGATTTGGCAGCGTTGAACCAGGATTTCGAGCTGCCGATGAGGATGGAGACGGGGTAGCACTGTATAAAGGCGGAGTTTGTTGTGAATTCCTTGAAGAATGTGGCGCAAGATTCGGTGGTGAAGGAGTCATTGGCTATGTTTGTATCGAAGGCTGTGGGGAGGGGTGCCTCGGGGACGGAGGGAGTGGCTCTGATGATGTCGCTGCTGAGGACCGGATCAGACATCGAGGGACGGACGATGGTAAGTTGGGAGGAGGAGGAAGAGGGAACGACGGTTGTCGATGTTGGTTTGGACGACTTGGTTGCATCGTCATCGTCGCTCTCAGTGCGCTTTCGCAGAGGGGGGTTCAGGGGATCGACGTCGATCGTCGATGCGCGGGGACACGATGTGATCGCGGGAATCGGGAGAATGGCTTCTGGAGCATGGCTATGGGTCGAGACGGGAGTGAACAGAGTGAGGATTAGAGCAGCAACGAAAAGTTGGAGCGACAGTCGCAGCGATGCACGACGGAGAGGCGTGCCCATTATTCTGCCGTGGTCCATGACGGGGCAAGAAAAAATCCACCAAAATTCGAGAGAGCGTGTCGACGGCGGGATGAAACGACTGCGATCGATTGAGGAATCGACTAAACGAATGGATATCAGGAGCGCACGCCCCTATCGTGATCTAATGGCCCAGTGGCGCTGCGAAAGGGCATCATGCTCTTCAAGACACTCGCTGGCGACCGTGCATCGGGGCAATAACCGCATTCGACGACCGCCAAGGAGGGTCAATATGGCTTAGTTCCCGGCGATCTGTGGTCGGCACAGGCCTCGAGATGAAGAGAGAAAGAAGAGGGACAGAGGATTCAAGCGAAAAGAGACCCAGGGGGCGATGCAGCGAGGTTTTGTAGCGGAGGGCGTGTCCGGGATGTCTGGCTGAGCCAAATGTAACAGAGTGAATCGTGATCCGCAGAAATCAGCATCCGCCTAGTCAGGGGTCCGGCATCCTCGTGGGAAGTCAAAGGAAACGATCGCGTCTCTGGCTGCCGGGCTAATCACACGCAGGACAGGCTCCAGCGAACCCCCATCTGCGACCAGGCGAGACTCAATAGTGCGCTGGTAGCAAAGATGGTTTCATCGGCTAGAACAATCGCTGCTGCAGCCACCCGGCCCCCAATCGGAACGCCAATGCAGCTTCGGACGAACTAGTCGGTTGGATGGCTGTCAAAGCGTTACGGCCCCTATCGACAGCGCAGGATACAAATACCAGGGCATTGGACAGGGACCCTCTCCAGGGACCAGAGGGGTGGTGAGCCAATGTCCAGGGCTGATGGCCTCGAGTGCGCTGGCGCCTGTCGGGCAGCGTGAACGCGAGAAGCCAAGCTGGTGCTTTTTCGTCAACAAACTGTCGCCAATTATGAATCGCCAGATGGACAGCAGACGGGAAATGAATCGGATGGGACACGATGCACAATCAGTGGCACTCTGGCTGGTTCCTGCAGGAGATTAAAAAGCTGCTATATTGCCAACTGCTCTGGTCAACAGCCATTAATTAACTACAGATTGCTTTCAATTCGCTCTACCACCATTTCTCCCCGATGTTTTGATCAATTCATAGCCCTCTCTGCCCTGACGGCGCGACATACAGGGCAATGCTCCCGTTTGCGCAGCCAACAGCCGGCACAGCAATATTCAGCCGATCCCAGGCGCAGATTGATTGCTTTTTTATTTAATTGAAAGCCGTTGTTCCACAGGCGCCGGTAGCCTAAAGCTGGAGGAGGTTTGTGACAGTGTTGCGACAGATTTGCGACTCAGCGTCACACAGATGCCGTATTCTTCCTCCTTGCTTTTGATGGGCGAAAAGTCGACGGATTCTGATCATTGATGGCAGACGCACTCGCTTCTTGATGGGAAAATGCCGCTCTTCCCTGTCGTCCTGATTTTCTAGAACTGCGAAGAATCGGGCTCTGAATTTCATTCCAAGCTGATTAAAAGCAACTGGGTAATTACTGAGCGCTTTGACCTCTTCGATCCATGGTGTTTATACTGCGCGTTGTTATTATTCCCAGTTCAGTGATACCTATATCGGGCGTTTTATCCCGGCTGCGGCTGGTCTCGCTCTGTATACTTGCACGACAAGAAAGACGGGTCATTGCCGCCAGCATTGCTTTATGACTTCAGAGCCTACCCTATCCTTATGGTTCGTTAACGCATCAATTGCAGCGACATCGGCGGCTTCGTCTCCCACAACGTCTTCTCCCGAATCACGGTTGTTGCCTGGATGAACCCGTTCCACTGTGACAATGCATGCGTCAAGCGCATCGACCCAGGTGGGATCGGGAAGAGCACATCTGGATATATAACTCTCTGGAAGCGATGGGATGTATATTCACAAAAGTCATAATTTTGTGCGAAAGCCAGTCACGACATCATGCTTTCCGGAACGCGAGTCTCGCATAATCCTCCACGGCGGCACATTCAAAAGGGATCGTCGGAGTGTCCCCCTCCAGTCTCTCCTACGAGGCGCTGATAGCTTGTCCCTTCGCGTGCCGCTCATTTATTGCGATTTCAATCCCTTCTACGACCACTTTCCATTCAATCTCATGTATTCTCTTTTGGAGTGCTGCGAGGTCTTCATCGACGCCTTTGATAAACGGTATCTCTCTCACCAACAGTGGCTTCCCCATATCCACTTCCGCTATAACCCTGTGGATCATCACACCGGTTTTATCAATCTTCCCTTCTAACCAAGCTGCCTGTGCCCGCTCAATAGCATGCTGCCAACAAACAGTCAGTAGCCTTCATCAATTTACGTGAAAACAACTTTCAACTCAAGGCCAAGCACTTTGGAATACTCACAGCCCCATTGAACTGCCCCGGCAGCGCAGGATGTAGATTGATAATATCCACCTTGGCCTTCTCCAGCGGATCCAAAAATGTGTTCGACAAGATATGCAGGAAGCCCAAGCACGCCACTATCTCCGGTCCATCGGCCAGCACCAGCCGCGCCAGTTCCGCATCGTACTCTTCCCGAGCCTTCTTGACGCCCTCGTCCGTCGGTGGATGGGCGTTTTTGTACTTTAGGAGGTTGTGGTAATGGGTCGGGATCCCCGCGCGCTGGGCACGTTCGAGGCCGAATGCGTTCTTCTTGTTGGATATCACTCGAATGACGGTCGCGGGTAATTGGTGTGCTGCGATGCTGTCGATGACAGCTTGGAGGTTGGTGCCGCTGCCGGAGATTAGGACTGTGAGACGCGTTGGGCCAGCCATTGCTTCTCTGGTTTTTCCCCTTCTCTTTTTGCCTTTCTCGATGCGAATCACGAAGAGGGATTAAAGGTCTGAGCTGGGCGCAGTTGAGCTCGGGGTTGCGGTTTTGTAGCTGATGCGGCGGGGTTGTTTTTTTATTTTGACTTTCACACGAGGAACACGGCTGCCCCTCAATCCCACCGTTCGCGTTGACGATATTATCGACAACACCGACTCGTGCGGCCCTTTGGTCCAAACATCTTCCAATTCACCATTTGAAATTGAAGATTGGCGGACTAACTTCGGACTCTCGTGATGCCTCCCGAGATCTTTCGCACACTTCATGAGGCAAAAACGCACATGGGTGCGGTACGGGCTGCCTGTGAGTACGATCTTGCTTCTGTTGACCACATCGAGACATCTGCCGCTCTTGATCACAATATTTCAATACCCAAGAGCTCAAGCTGCATGATACCCATACCAAGCTTCCCTAAGAGCCCACCGATGTCGCCCAGCTCAATACCATTATGGGTTGGCTCTTGAATGCTATGCTAAACAACCTGGTAATAGCCCGGCCTATTGAGTGACATCGAGCTAGCTGCCGGAATGAGCATGGCATATTAAGCTCTCTCTAGGCTGAAGATGCTTTCACGAGTACCCAGTGGTGTCGTTGACATTCACATTTTTGCGGGTGGTGCTAAGCAGGTGCACATCTCGAGAGAGGCTGAGAACTACCTTCGCCCCCAGATTTCAAAGCACATTCCGATCAAGCCCCTTTTTGCTATCTTACTGAATTTCAATGTAAGTCTGTGGGCCTTTTATTGACTTCGTGGTTGCTCTTCCTATAACCCTCCTATGATACCAAGCTTTCGAAGGATACTACACATAAAGCTGGCAGCCCCATAGAACTGTCCAATGGCTTAATGTTTGACACTATTATTTTGATGCAATTTCAAGGAGTCCTTGAAACTAAGGGAATTTTGAATCAATTCAAGAAAGTTGGCCCTCAACCTGGTTTATAAATGCTTCTCTTTTCAAAAACTACTTGATGCGATTAATTGACCCAAGGTCACTAGTGCTTGGGTGTCTTGCAAGAGCTTCATGACATTCAATGAAAGCGAAGAGTTTTTGAAGTGGTTGACCGCGCCCGAGATTCAGCGACCTCTTATGTAGTTGAGTCTGGTCGATGATCATGGGTTAATTCTACGCCCAACGAAATTGCAAGGAGTTTTCGTTTTCCTTGGGACCATCTCTAATGGACGGATCTTGGTGATTCCTCGGTAGAGTATCCGCATCAAAACGGCTAGGCTTGTTTAGTCACTTTGAGATGAAACGCGAGCGTCATGTCATTCAACTGATTATCCACGTGCCTGTAAATAGATTGAGGATCTTCGACAATTATAGCCCCTCAAACGCCTGAATCTCCCTAGATACCAGCGCAGATGATCGCCCTGAGCGACAGGATTAGCTCCAGATGTGAGGATGTAACGGAACAAACAACTGGGAAACCTTCGGGACACTAGGAATAATTCCACGTGGGATGACCATTGACCTCCCTTGAGAAGGCTGAGGATATGTTAATTCCAATAATAGTTTCCGGTGAGGGCATGCCCAGGAGCAAGAGACGCCATGGTTTTTGTTCAGGAATCCTTTACAACTGACAAAGCCGGACGAGAAGCTGGGTGCATTCTGAGATGTTCTCCGGATATATGCGGGAGGTCCGAAATAGAAAGTCGGAACGGATCAGCCTTTTTCCCTTCGGTGAATGTGATTACTAAGATAATATGCGATTATGTAAACTTGGTTGATTATTAACTAATCGGCACCACGCACCGCAGACTTCAACTCTCTCTACTACTCTGTACATGTCTTGATCTACTCGAGCAGAACCTCATATTCCAGGTCTCTTACCTGCGACACGCCTTTACCAACGGCGAAATCTTCTCAACAGCCTTCTTCACGTTGTCGCCCAATTCACCCAGCTTGGCGCCGCTCAAACCTCTCTTGATCTTGGCGGCATCGGAAAGCTTGCCAGCGTTCCGTAACGCAGCGGCACCCAGAACTGCACCGAAAATGTTCAGGAACACATTTGCCGGGTCTGTGGGGTTCTCGGCAATTTCGTGAAGACTGAGTGCTGCACCCCCAATTTCGGCCACGAGCGCAGTGATACGCGCAATGACGGCCAGCCCCGTGACGGCTGCGAGGCCCTGTCCCAGACCTGGAAGCACAAACAAGAACGCCGTCAGGAACAGGAGGATAAAGCGCTTGCGTTCCTCTTCTTCAATCTCCTCGCCAATCTCGGCGACCTCTTCCATGTTGGCAATGGCCTCTTTGACCATGTAAACCGGAACCGCGGCGCCGTCGACCACGTCTGCTGCAAAACCGTCAAATACTTCGAATCTGAGTTCCTCCATCACATCTGCCAGGTAGGATTGCGTGTCACGCAACTCTTTTAGAGCGTCGGCAATCGATTTCTTCGGATTGGGCACCTCAGCATTAGAGCGGATTTTGGGGATGCCGTGTATCCAGCCGTAGTCTTTACACTCCACCTCTGGATCCCCCAGGCATATAGCGAAAAAGAACTTATCAAAGAATATCCAGTCTTCCAACACCTGAAATTTTTCCGCCACCCATTTGAAGAACTTGTCTTCGTCCTTGGGGATCAGGAAGACACTGTAGGCGTGGCCTTCGAATTCAGGCGGGCACACGCCTGTTTCGTTTTTATACTTGTCATCCCCGGTGGGAACTTGCTGAAGACAGTTAAAATATTCCGGTATGTGATGCTGGTAGATGGTATCCATGGCCGCTTCCCAAGATTTTTTGACCGCCTTGGAGTAGTATCCAAACTTTCTGTCGTAGCCGTCCTTGAGGATTTGGTCGTACTTTTCGAGCGCTGATTTGAGCTCAATCGATAGTGCGCGTGCCAGGTACTGCTCAACACACCGCCCCGGAAGCTTATCTGCAGCTTTCACGATTTCGTCAACAGTGTCCAGGTCATCGTTGCACGGCGGGTAAATAACGTCTAGGTCCTCGCCGAGATGGTCCTCGTCATCTAAGCTTTTCTCAAGGTCGACCGCCCAATCGACGGTGCCGCCCATGTTCAAGCCCTGGTACATCTTTCGGCGCGCGGCCTTGTTTTTGCTATCCATATATGCAACCCACTCCGTGTCGTTGTAGACTAGAATGTTATGAAGGTCCTTTTCGTGGTCGTCCAGCCTTAATATGTTGTCGTTCTCCTTGATAATCTTCTCTATCTCGGCGTTGGAGACATAGCCCGCCGTGTCTGTGCATTCGCCCTTTTTGGCACCGGATTCGGGTCCGACAAATGTGCACGTTTCGCCATGACATCCAGCCTGGGTCATTTTGAACGATCGTCCATAGCTTGACACGCCAACGATAATTTTGTTCGACGGAGCGCCAGCCTTTGTAACCATGGCGAGGGCGTTCGTTGTCTCCGTGAGGTTGACGTGGGATCGTAAGCAGTTCCCCATGGAATTCGGGCAGCCCTATACGTTTTGTTAGGCACTGGCGTTCCGTCTTTTGGAACGAGAATTCTTACCGGATTGACGAAAGGTATCTTATAATCCCATTGACCATGAAGGTCATACGTCATGTACACGATATAATCAACAACTTGGGACATGAGGTCTATCGGGAATTGTTTCAGATACCTAATCGGAAGTCAGTCATGAGGATCAAATGCGACAGACCTGGCAGAAAGTGTTCAAAATGTAAGAGGGATTACATACCAGTAACTAGCAGGAGCAGCAATAGACAGGGATTTCTCGCTTGGGAGATCTCCCCAGAGGACAAAAAGGAAGAGCAAGTAATTCACTGCATCTTCTGGCTTCCCCGGAGGGATGCCTGGAATATCTGGCGCGCCCGGATACTCCCAATCAAAGTCAACACCATCCAAGTCATGTTCGTTGATAAACTTGACCACGTTTTCCTTGAACTTCAGGCGATTGTCCTCCGCGAGTGCGCTGCGTAAGATGTCGTACGTGGCTGGTTCTGTGCTGAACCCCCAACCGCCAAATGACACGATGCGCTTGACACCCTTAAGCGCCTTGAACCGATCGAATTCGAGCTGGTACTCGCTCACATCAATTTCGAAATTTCTGGTGATGGATGCAAAACCATAGTGAATGTGGGTATAGCCGTCGCCTTTCCAGTCGATCCAGTCAATGTGTGCATTCAAGCACGGCCGGTTCCAATTGAATGCTTCAAAATAACCGATTTTGATATATTCAGCTGGCGGGTCGCTCTTGACGATATCCATCCCGCAGCTTGCAACGCAGTAGTTGGGGTTATCCTCTTTTTCTTCGTTGCAGAAATCTTCCGTAACACCACACTGGCCCCAGACGTTGCAGCATGCTTTGATGGGACACGGATTCAAGTCCTTGAGTTCGACGCCATCGATGGGCGGTTCTGTGCCGGGAACCTGGGGACCACAGATTGCATTCGCCATCGGTGCCGGCATGGGTGGTTTACCCTTGCTAAGGCACATCCTGAATTGAGATTGCAGCTTCTTGCAGCCGTTCCAGGCCCAAGTGTCTTTGTTAAACTCTTCAAGATCATCTACCGTGAGACCGTTCGAGGCTGCGATTTTGGCACAGAAGTCGCCTGCCTGTGTTGTGTAGTCGGCACAGTGCCCGTCGGGTTTGGGCTTCGGCCTGATATCAGGGAGATCCCCCGCCGAGCAGCAGACTCGCTGTCCAACCGCTAGAGTCGAGCAAAATTTTGACCCAGGGTTGTATTTGGTAAAATCCGAACCGGAGACGCCACACTTCGATGCCAGGGATGCGCATGAGTCGCCTGAGTCTACCGAAATGGTTCTGCAATCGCCGCGGGGAACGAGAATATGACTACGCCCAGCGATACCGGCTTGAAACTTCGACAAGGAATCAGGAGCATCCGCAGCTGGAGGGGTTTTGAAGGTGACATTTTTCCATCGTCGAGAAGTGTTGTCTCCAGGTGTCTTAGCGCAACGGCCCGAACTCCACTCCTTAACGGCATCTTGAACGAGACCAATGTTGGCCGATGTGCTGACCGCAATACCAAAAGCAAAGTCGGAACCTCTGTCCTTTGAACCACATAGCTCTACCACTACCGTATCGGCAGTGATAAGTTTTCCATGCTCGGCTTCATCGATGAACTGATTTAAGAGGGACGCCATCACTCCTTGCTGTTTCAGCATCGCGCCGGCGTACAAGCCCACGACCGCATCCCCCGAGAAGGCGAAAGTGATAGTGCTATTGCTTGTGCACGACGACGCATCGGAAGCCAAGTAGTTTCTCAATTGACTGGCCGCAGCCACAGTGTCAGAGGCGGCATTCTTAGAGGGCTTCCCTGACTGTGTGATGTGGACCTCGTCTTTACGCTCGACTTTGCTGCTAGCGAAGGCAGAAATACAGGAGTTATCGTTGGACGGGGAAGTTTTTAGGGACGTCGAAGAGTACTCTGCCACACAAGCCCGGACGCCAATTCCAAGGTTCGGGTCATCCAGAGAGCGATGCACTGGGAAGTCTAGAAGCATCGTTTCGTTGCACCCTTTGAGGGCATCTGGGCTGGAGTAACCGGACCATCCCACGGGATCAAGGCCGACCTCTTCGCAAAATACGGGGCATTTTTTCGGGATACCAGGCGGGGAATCTTGAAACTGACTCTGCCATCCAGCGACGCGACGCTCAAATTCGGATGGTGAAAAGGAGGGAGTGGATTTTGCTGAAACAAAGGAAATAGGGAAATAGAGAACGAGAGACAGCAGCGGGGGGAGCCACATGACGGCGCCCTCCCCGATCAAGAGTTATGATAGAAGTCAGAATCAACAAAAGAGAGTGAGGATGCCAGAAGTGAGGAGAACTGAAATGCCAATTCACACCAGCCGGTTCATCCATAGCAAACGAATATACGGCTTATATAGGTCGCAAAGAACCGGAGCGGTAACTATATCTGCCGGAAAACTTCCACCCAATCCCGCCTCGCCGAGTCCAAGAGTCATATTCGATGCCAATTTCAGAAGCGGGATCTCTTCACGCTTCCCTGACGCTTGGCCCCGCTTCGATTGTTGACAGTAGCAGTTGCTTCCTCGGAAACTTCTTGGGTTCCCATCAATAAGGTGGGTGGCAAAGAGAAATTTTTGGTCGGGAGCTCAAAGGGGTTGCAAACTGCGCGAGCGAAGAACATCCAATGGTTAGATGTTGGATGGCACTTCAGCCTCAGAAACCAGGGATATTTTTTCCCTCTTCCCAGGATCCGAATCCTGGTCGATCCATCCCGGCTGGGGCCGACCCTCATGCCATGCGGCCTGTCCCTGCAGGGTGGGGAGCAGATGTCATGTTGGATCCCGTATGGGAGCTCAAGAGTAATCACCGGAGAAGGAATCATAAAACTGCCAGAACCTCTGTCGGGGAAACTTCGCTCGCATGCGACATTTCAGAGGTTCAAGGCGAACTGTTTTCCGCTCTTTTTTCCAGTCTCTCTTTCTTCGGTTGCCAAAGCCAGGAAGATGTTCGCATTCATCAACATCGTTTTTCTCCTGGTTAGCTATCTCGCGAGCGTTGCTCAGGGCTACTCGATTCCAGGAGGGTATGAGAGGTTAGTGCTCAGGCGGACAATGCCTCTCCGATTTACCACAGAGAAAATACTGATCAGTGCCGTTAAGATGCATGTTCTACTATGCCTATCTGCTTGATTGCAAGATCAATGATGGCAAACCGACGACAATCGGAACAGGATGCGCCAAAGTTTTGGGCACAGGGGGTACACCGTGCAGTATGAACCAGTTCCTCGAGTTTATCATGGACCCTGTAAGACCCCCCGCCAACTTGTTCAGTGAAAACTACTTACAATTGAGGATAGTCGAAACCAGCCAACGTTTTCAGCGGGAAATATCCAGAGATACCGCCGCTGGAGGACACTGCGAAGAAGGTCGTGGACGGAGACTTCGCGGGGCCGGTGACGCCAGGACGAGTCCATACAGACGGCGGCAAAAGCAAGGACTACGATAAACTGCTGGCGAAAGTGACCGATTTTATAGCACAGAAGCTCCCGAAAGCAGACGAAGATTTGCGCAAGGAGGCGAAGAATAGCGTCCTCCGCATCTTCACGTCGCGCGTGGAGGCAACCAGCAGGACGTTTTTTGAAAATAACTCAGACATCGAGCCCAAGTACCAAAAGAAATCACGGGGCGGCATCGAATACCAAACTATTGACCCGCAGGAAACCCTTCGTGCCAATCCCAATCTGACGAGGGCACAGTTGAAAGAAAGATTTGACGAGAATGCCAAAGGTGGTCATAGTAACAACGTTCGCGCCCTTGATGCTAGCCTCCAGGTGATCGAATATTGCGATTAGATCAGTTTTATGCAGCCGTTAGAAAGTTTAGTCAAATAATAATCAAATACTACTTTGACTCTTCTCTGCCTCACTCGTCGCTGTAGTTTAACAATTGGCGATAGGATATTTGTGGGTATCTCATGGCTTGACTTGCAATCGATCCGTAATAATGAATCTCGGGCCAACAGCCGGGCAAACCCTTGACCTGGCCATGAGTTTCAGCGAAGTTCTTCCTCTGCTGAGTCCTCAAGGGCGCAATATCTCGCCACTTCCGTCCTCCAAGAGCTTGGACCGCAAACGTAGGATACATCTGCTGTTGCCTCTGCATCGGTGGAAATTTTCCCATGGTCAGTGCGGGCAACGTCCGTATGTCAGTTGGTTCTCGCGGCCTGATGGCAAGGAGGCCCTGTCGAGAGAATTCCCACTCGGGTCCTTGGCTGCCGGCGAGAGGGAGCAGTTGAGTGCGAGGAAGATGTTGCAGCCGGTGACCTGAGCTTCACCCTGATTAGAAAGGTTACACCAGCGCAGTGCTGTAGCATCGAGGTTCCTGCAGAACGATGCACGGACTCGAGTAATAAGATCCTTCATGTTGGTTAAGGTCACCTGCACCTGCAGCGATGATCGGGTATCTGGAATAGCATGATCCTGGGACCTGGGAGGACAGCCCTGCAGAACGAAATCGTCAGTTAACTGTTGGGTGGCGGAGTTTTAGGCAGCGAGGCAATTTTGATATTTCTCGAAGCTCTCGAACGAGTATCACAAGGACTCCGTCCAGAGCGTCCAGAGCAGCATCCTTTGTCTTCAGTTCTCACCGAGCAGCAGGCCGCCGTGTTGGTAACGAGGGGTCATTTCCGTGATCCTTGTATCCCCTGCTTAGTTAAATTAAACCGAGAAACGATTGAGAAAAAAGAAAAGAAGCAGAAGAGAAAACGTCTCATGATCAGCCATGGCGTCCCTCGAACAGCGCCTTCAATCGCAGAAATTCGACTATCTTGAAACGAGAGCAGCTTTACGGGGCGAACGGCTGCCCACCGCGCTTGGCCACGCGATAACAAGACTCTGTGTGATCCGCGGTATCCGATACCATGAGTCGTTTGCAACAAACGATGCATCGATATTGTTTGGCTGCCCAGGCCACCCCGAATTCACCCGGGCCCTGAACGCCCGTGCCATCATGAGCGATCGCATCCCCGACTTGGACCCGGCCAGCCGACCCGAAGAGGTGCCTTACTGCATCTGGCACCCAGAGGTAGCATCGGAAGAGACATACCGACAACTTGCTAGGCGGTACCCGTCTATGAAATACCAGGTAGCGAGGGCATGCGCTGTCGCGGGATACACTGACCTGTACCTGGAGCTAGACATTCTCCCTGAAGTCAGTGTTGCTGAGGAAGCTCGAGATGCTAGGAGTGATGCCATCTTCGCGCATATCATGGCGCAACCAGTCCGCTACGCGGTGATGGACGACTATTACCGTGTGATCAAAACATCAGAGGCTAGCAAGCCGGCTTATCTGAACGGCGATACTGCGGTATGCTCTATGCTGCAAAAAAGACAAAGGTTTAGGAAACCCACTGGGGTGGAGGATGATGAAGATGATCTCTTTGGAGGCCTCATTGACGATAAAGGATACGATGAAATGATTTTCAATATTACCGAAGACCAGAGTTTGGACGAATCTGAGGTTGAAATCAGTACTGACCCAATGCTGGAGCTTCTATACTCACCGTTACCCCTTGACTTACCAGCAGGTAATAAGGACCTTCTCATCCTCATGGCCGCATACTACGGCGACATCGACCGCTATGTACGGCTTCGTAGGCCTACAATGATACCCAAAGAGAATTTTTGCGTCGTCCGCGGCATCTATCATAACTCTCTCTTTGCAAAGAGGTGGTCAACCCAACAGAATCCTCCCGCTGAGGATCAGCCGTTTTACATGCACAATTGGGACCATATCCAGGCTGCTATCACTGCACGGCACATCATGAACAACGACCTATCACGGATTGCGAACAACCGGGCCATTCCGTCCAGCCAGCTTCCTTATCTGATATGGTTCCCTAACGTGGCGAGGCCGGAAACGTACCGAACGCTCGCGAATCTACGGCCCGAAATGCGCGAGGCTTGCATTCGAGCTGCCATCTACGCCAATTACGAAAAGTTGTTTGATGAACTGCTCCCAGACACATCGCCCAACGCGTTCCTCGTCGCTGAGGCGCGGCAAAGTCCCAATCCAAAGTACCTAACTGCGCTGGAGGCGCGGGCAAAAGAACTTGACGTGGATATTACCCCCTCCGCAACCCTGAGTGGACGCGGCCACTGGGCCTGGAAGATGTTTTCTGTCAAGCAGACTGGCCCCAGCATGAGAAGCGAGAATGGTGTGCCTACAGCCGTTGATGAGGAGACAATTGGTGGTGAGTGGGAACAAGACGCTGTCTACAATGGAATGCGTTGTAGTGCCAATATGCTTGAGCTCTTCTTAATGTTACCAGAAGAATGGCGGCCAAAGGATATGTACGTCGAGTTGGATTACGAGGACTGGCCGCCGCAAGAGTTTCTGGGCGGAAAGGCATGATCACATATTTATAAAACCTAGTCCCGCGAAACATATTGAATCATGAATTTAGGCCTTTTTTTCAATACTCCCTTTTATCTTCTCAAGCTGTATATTTTAGATAGCAAGGTGACCCATGTGTGACATACATATTTCCCGCCCCCTGTTAAGTGGTTCGAGTATCTGGGTGTTCAACTAATAATAAAAAATTAGACCTTACATTGAATCCTCCTGTAATAATTTTTGGCAAAGCTTGTTATATTTAGATGTGGTAGCTCGGTGTAGAACCAAGCTGATAGCTGAAAAGCATTGCAGTATGGAGTAAAAAGTGCTCATTTGTTCTTGGGCCAATGAGTGTTTAGATCCGATTTCGATTTTGTTAGAAAATCTAATCATATCAATACGCTATCATTGTGTTATTGCGCCTCGCACCTAGTGAACTATCCTTCCGCGGCAGATTATGACTAGTTTTGCGGAATTTGAGAATATTCCCCTTTTGGAACTCTCTATCATCCGACTTATCCATGCATCAGACAGCTCAAAATCTTCTTAGTCAAGCATGAAAGTGTGAATATCGCCTAAAAGTGGTACGTAAATCAGATGCACGGCGTCGACCTGGACCATAATTTATAGAATTGGATTCTTAGTTCCATGTCAATGAGGATCCAGGCTTCTCCTCCAGAGGCCGAGATCTCTATCGCTGGCTGTGAGATCGAGGCATACAAACTCCTCTCAGTGGCAAGAGTATGTGAACAGGGCTTTAAAATCAAATCAAATCTACGGAGTACTCCATAGCATTGTATTCATTTAGCAACTGGGCCAGCATGAGAATTGTGGCTCCAAGCTTCATAGCAGATAATCCAGATGATCGAAGCGTCCAGAACTGCGGACAGGGGCCGCCAATTTGCTTTTCCTGTGATTTGTGTCTTATTTCTTTCTGTATTACTCCGTATCTTTTTAAACAATTCCTTGCTAAGCAACACTGTATTCCGTAGATTGCAGGCAATTGGAAGCGCGATGGATGAACTGGGGTCTCCCGAATCAGCTCAGCGAGCCGTCGGCCCGAAAGGGCTTATTACATAATCTCGAAACGGATTCGCTCGGCTCGGCTATTTGTTGATCCGAGTATCGTTTGTGCCGGAGGTTCACATGACTGTCCTGGCTTCCAGTCAAGGAAGCAATTCTGCGGTTGAGATGAGGCACATAAGCTCCCAAGGGCATTTTATCCTTAGATACGGTGTATAGAAACAATGGCTTCTGACCTACCCGCGCCTGAGACACGGGTCTTGGCCATTGCAAGCCATGTATGAATGCCTGTCCCTTTGAGAAGCACCCGGCTAATCTTTCGTGCAGGTTGTCTATGGGTATGTGACTTTGTCTCAACTTCTATCGCCCAGTTCGACTATAATAAGCATGTTGTGGCATCACCATTCTTCCGTCGTTTCCAGCCATTTTCATATGCATGATTTCATAGTGCCTTTCCAGTGGAAGCAAGGGGTACCGCCGTGTATGTGATTGCTGAAAAAGTAATCTAGCCTGACATATGGAGTCGTGCAGATACGTGGGAAATACGATGGCGACCTTTGTGATGCAAGCTATGGGCTGTGAGGTTGCTGCATTAAACACAGTTCACTTCAGTGAGATCCCATGGCTTCCCGATGTTTTGTCTCAATGTTAAACTCCTCCTTTTCGAAGGGGAAATGGTGCTGATTTGGCAATCCTGTTGAACTTTTGGCTTGGAAATCTCTTTTAGAATCCAGAGTTACTTACAATGGCTCATAGGTAACCATACAGGCTATCGCCAATTCAAAGGGACGAAGTCATCAGCTCAGGAAATAGCTTCTCTGTATGATGGTTTGCGGCAGAGTTATTTGACTGATTTTGACGTGCTATTGACCGGCTATGCGCCGAGCGCAACTGCAGTGGAGGCTGTCGGAGCAATTGGCATGGATCTCAGAAAGAAATCTCTCCAGCAGCCTGGTTCCTTCTTCTGGGGTGTGTTATCCTATTTGCAGTTCTGCGTATGCCACGTGTTGTACAAATCATTAACGTGGTAGCACCCCAGTTCTCGACCCGGTGATGGGAGACCAAGGGCGCATATACGTCAATGAAGACGTGGTGCCTGCTTACAAGGACTTAATCCCACACGCGGATTTAATATTACCAAATCAATTTGAAGCTGAGTGAGTATCCCATGAAGCAAATCTAGCGTTGAGAGAGCGGTAGCAAGACCTGGACATTCCGCCATTAACCATACGATACACAACACAGACTTCTTTCGGGGATAAAAATTTTGTCCTTGGCGAACCTGGCTGATGCAATTGCCGCCATCCATCGCATCTACAACGTTCCACACGTTATTGTAACCTCAGTACAGCTTCCTAGCGCCACGTCGTCATCATCGTCGTCGTCGGCATCCCTGGCAACCGCGGATGGTTCCGTCAGCACCCAAGACCACAGAACAAACGCACTTATGATAGTCGGCTCGACAATGAGATCCGATGGTTCGGCGCGCCTCTTCAAGATAGATGTCCCATTTTTGGATTGTTTCTTCAGCGGGACGGGTGACATGTTTGCTGCATTAACGGTCGCAAGGCTTCGCGAAGCTGTCTTTGCCGCTGAACCCACATCACCCCCATTACGTGAAACTCGTGCGTGGGTATCTCCTGATCACGTTTTAGCCACAGATTTGCCCTTGGCGAAGGCGACCGAAATTGTCCTCGCTAGCATGAATGCGGTTTTAGAAAGGACTATGCTGGCCAGAAGTGCGGAGCTAGCAAAGTACGTGAAACAGGACGAACAAGACCCCGAATTAGCAGGGATGCCGGACGTTGAGCGCAAAGCTGCTGTTGAAAAGAGAGCGTATCTCCGTCGGACGAAAGCTGCAGAAATCAGGCTTGTACGCAACGTGGATTTGCTGAAAAGTCCGGTAATCAAATATTTCGCCCAGGAATGGTCCCAATGACGAGGACGGTACCCTATGGTCTTTTTCATACATTTTTTTGAAATAATTATTGTGTGATATATGGCCTGCTTTATATAGATCTGTGAAATTTTCACCGTTGTAGAGTCACAGCGTCCAGTAATATATGAATATACATAAATGTCTTTCAAGCAGAGATTGTGTGTTTATGCTTCGTACGCTTCACATTAGAAATATGGGGGTCAGGCTACCAGACGTGATTAGCCTTAATCTAAGGATATCATATCAGCAGGCTCATGTCTATCATGAGTATCATCGGTGAGGCTAATCTAACAACCGAAACATGTCGAGATTCATAGTCAGAGATTGAATGCTATCAGCTCCATCTTTAGCCGGTACTGCCAAATCCACCGGCTCCTCGTACGCTTTCCTCTAGTTGCTCAACAACTTGCACATCCGGGGTATATATCTGCGCCGACAGGTTAGCTTCACCGCGCCGCTTTGCCAAAAGGACGTTGCACAAAGGACATTGCTCACCCGCTCTAGAACAAGCTGTGCCACCCTGTCCCCTTGCTTTACGGTAAAATCGACATCGGAAAAATTGAACAGCAAAACCTTGACTTCGCCGCGGTAATCCGCGTCGATCACCCCGGCACCGGTATCAATGAAATTCTTAGCGGCGAGCCCGCTTCGAGGCGCGATTCTTCCGTCTAACAGGGCGAGGCCCGTATCAGTCCACACCATTCAAGTGAAAACAAAAAGCCTGCGTGGGGAGTCTTACATGTTCCATCGGGCACGGCAATGGCAAGTCCGGTGTCTACGAGGCCCTTGCCCTTGGTTGGGATCACGGTCTCTTTTGCGGCGTAGAGATCGTACCCGGCGGCAAAAGCTGAGCCGCGTGTTGGTGCCTGAGCTTGTGGTACTAGCTTCTTCACCAACAGTGGAGGAAGTGTGTTTTGGGAGAGGGAAGTCACGGCGGGAGTGGAAGACTCAGTCACTGACGCCATGCTTGTGGTTTTGGGGCGTTTTGCGAGCGGGGAATTTGGGAGGGACGGGGGAGGATGAGAAGAGTTGTTGTCGTTCTTGGATTGAGGAGGAGGAGTAGTTTCTTTTGTCATGGTAATAGATCGGATTCTGAAGCCGGGGAGTTTTAAATGTTAATGCCAGAGAAGCGGACTTTGGACGTTTACCGCTGACAACGCGCCGAAGCGCGTCCAGACGCGGTGGCACGTGCCAAAAGCTTGACTGTAGCGAGCTTACCCGAATGAAGCTTAGCGCGGTTCAATGTCATTGGGGGAATAACGCTAAAGCAAATAGGGCTAGCGCGCATGAGTGGAGGTTGCCCGCCCAGTAGCCTCGGTACCCGGTTGTTACCGCCAGAGCATCCCCGGACGAAACGATGGACACTGGATCTCAGATTTATTATTTGGCCTGTTCCCCTTTGAGATGTGTCGACGGGACTCAGCAGTCGATTCTCCCACAGAAAATCTTTCAATAGCTCTTTCATTGTGACACAAAGATGGCCGGGGTTGTACGTCAACCAATTGACATCCCAGCGTTCGAGCGATATCTTGAGCAGAATGTCCCGTCGATAAAGACTCCCCTGGATGTCAAACAGGTTTGTTTGTTTCCTCCCGACCAAGAAGTTTCAAGGGACTAGGTTATTGATTTCTTCTTTAACCACCAGTTTGGCTTTGGCCAATCGAACCCAACCTACCTCCTCACAGCTTCCGATGGCAAAAAATACGTTATGCGAAAGAAGCCACCTGGCAAGCTCCTTTCGAAAACAGCACACCGGGTAGACAGAGAGTATCAAATCATACATGCGCTCGAAAAGACAGATGTCCCGGTGCCAAAAGCCATCTGTTTGTGTGAAGATGATAGCGTCATCGGAACGGCGTTTTATATAATGGAGTTTTTGGACGGACGTATATTCACGGATCCTGCCATTCCTGGTGTGAGCCAAAAGGAAAGAAAAGCAATGTATGGATTACCGATGTAAAGAGCTGCTTGCGGATTCAATGCTGATATATCGTTGTAGTTGGAAAGACGCGGTTGAAACATTGGCAAAGTTTCATCGGGTCAACCCAAAGGCCATTGGCATGGAAGGGTTCGGACGGCCATCGGGGTTCTATGATCGGCAGATTGCAACCTTTAAAACCATTTCCAAAGCACAAGCAGACACGGTTGATATTGAGACCAAAATTCCCGTGGGTAATTTGCCGCACTTTGATGAGATGGTGGAATTCTTCTCAAACAAAGACCAGCAGCCCAAAGATCGAGGCACATTCGTTCATGGTGACTATAAAATTGACAATATGGTTTTCCACAAGACGGAACCCAGGGTAATCGGGGTGTTGGACTGGGAGATGGCGACTATCGGCCATCCTCTGTCCGACTTCTGTAACTTAACTGGGCCATATATGCACACAGGCGGAACTCCTAACACTACTCTGGAGTTCTCACCGGAGGCTGTTCCAGGCCTTCCAACGCGCGAAGAATGCGTTGAATGGTACCGCAAAATTGCTGGGTGGAACCCGACATCGGAGTTAATGTGGGGTGACGCCTTCCACGGATTTCGAGGTTCAGTGATCATGCAAGGGATCGCAGCTCGATATGCTGTGAGGCAGGCAAGCAGTGCAAGGGCGAAAGATTACGGATCGCAAATGGGCCCATTTGCGCTTCGTTCATATGAAAGGGTCAGCAAATTGAAGGAGAACGCACGTCGGAAGGCTAAACTGTAGTTTTGCGTTCCACAGAACATTAGACGGACACAATCGCCCTTTCTAGCTCTTTAGATGGTTTTGTATACCTCGGGTACGGAGTAGGCCTTTCAGAAATCAGATTTCAGAATTGAGTACTCCGTAATGTGGAACAAATACGTGATTTACTATTGGCTTGGGCTCCGAGCATTGAGCCCGTATTATTTATCTTGACATCAGCAAGTGAAATTTTGTTGGGGAACCCTCTGTTCGATAATTTGGGGGCTCTGGCTCTTTGACAGGGTCCACGCGGATCACGCGATTTGGATCTTGAATTCCTCGATTACCCTATGAACGGCTCCTCGTGGCAGGCAAGGAGGGAATACGACTTGAGACAGACTGCAACGATGTGATCGAAAGGGACAGCTCTTTGTGAAGAGACGGATGTTAAAAGCGGCGAGCAGCTGTGATTTGCTCAGCCGGAAAACTCCACAGGGCGCAACCCCTGCAAGATGATGCTGGTGGGAGCGGATAAGCCGTCCACTAGCGTTCCATGAAAGCCTCGTATCCAGGCCAGCCAACTGACACCAGAACAACTCATCAAGCGGGTTCGCAATCGCTGATGTGCCGAGAAACACACTCCAGTTCGACATTCCAGGCTGGACAGTTGAGCGAAATCCCGCAGGTACCCATGATCGCTCTGAGAACAAGCTTTCAGCGCAAGACTCAATCGTTCAGACTGAGGGCAGAATCGGGGTGATTATTGGAGACAGAGTTTCGACTCCACCCATGGCGCAGACCAAACGCCGTCTCTTTCGCGAACCAGGCGTTTTAGAACTGTGCAGAAGAGGAGTAGAACCACAAGTCATCGTGGGTGGGATGGCAGTCACAGCGGTCTTCAGCAGAGCCCAAGTGCTGGAATGATGCAGAGGACGAGTGGTGACGATGGGCCGAATCCCGCTTGAACGCTGGGGCCAGTCAGCTGATTGAGGCTCTGCAGGTGCATGGGGCTCGCTGGCTGCTTTAACCGCTTTTGGCAGAGTGCGAGTGATTTCTCAACCGACGACCGTCCATCAACGTCCTGGTGATCCTTGTGCTCTTGAGCATCAATCTCAGCCACTTCCGCGTCTGTCTGCCGTCCACTGGCCTCGTCGTGTGAGGTTGCAACACCTCCCTTGATCCATGCTTTCTTCTCCTGTGCAAAAAACTGCAATGCGCCCGCTGCTCTTTGCTCCGCTTGCCCCGCGCGTTGCGGAGCCTTTGCACACATAACCTGCAGTATTTGCGTCGCCGATATATCCTCTGATTTATGATTTTTTAGAAGTTAGTCACTCTTCTAATCTCTCCCCGAAGTTCACGATATCGTTGCTCTGCTGCTCAGAGAGGCTCCGTGGGTCGCTTGTTTCGCTTCTGAAGGCATCTCGATTCGACATGGTTCTTGGCCCCAGCTTACCAGCCAATTGAATGAGTTGCTCCCAAATACATGTATCTCTCTCGACTACAGCTCATCCGCTTTCTTCATTCACAAGCCTGATGGACTATGTCCCTTAAATTTTACATCCCCTTCTCGCCTTTGTCAAAGTTGCAATGCGCCCCGAATTGTTGAGGATTTGAGCCCCAAGAGATCCAAGACTAACTGTGTCCTAGCAAGCAGTCATACATCCTTACATACCAACTCTTAGCTCGAGTACGCTCCTTCCTTTCGGTTTATTCAGTTGCGGAACTGTGTCTTGAGACTCCGCCGGCTTCCGGTCCTCCCATTTTGTTATACTGCTACTTGCGCACCACGGCTTGATATTTCCATGCAAAACCTTTGATATCGCCGACATTAAATGTGGCATGTGTCATAAATACAACCATGTACGACGAAGTCTATGATTCAGACGACCTTCGCCCTACCACTCCTCCGCTCGAACAAGTCAAACCCGATCTCCGGCCTCACGAAGATACTCCTCCCCCGTTTCTTCCAGAGAAAAGCGAAAGCCCAAAAGAAAAGGAAAGTCCCTCTGGACGTGTCCGTAAGGGTTCTCACCGACGCTGGAAAGGCCGTGAAACATCAATAGGGATCCAGCTAATAATCCAAAACTTAGACTCTAACCGGCCCGATCTAGCATATCAGCTTAAAGAGGCGCCCCTACACTCGGATTCGCCGTCTGATACAAGTGAAGCTGATGATGGAGTGGAACAAGTACAATCAGAAAAGCATCGGGATACCTCCACGAACGATGTGCCTCCGTGCGCAAATTCAGCATGTGAGCTAAAGAGCATGCCACCGGATGAAGAGACAAAGGTTCAGCAAAGGAAGCCACAGGACCTTCTCAATCTTTTGAATAATCAAGATGACTGGGAAGAGCCGAACGAATCGACTCAGATTCACCAAGAACAAGCTTCTAGTGAGCATGACAGAATTCCATACCGCAGCCGAATGCACTCCCAGGAGCCAAAGTTCGGATATCAGTTGCCTAGGATCAATTCAAATCCCGAAGATCGAACTTTATCAGGAAGATTACCGAGACAGGAGGAACTAGCCCACCCAAGCCATAAAGACCCTCGCCTTCCTCAAAGTTATCATGCCTCTCTCCCAGCCTTATCTCCTCCGCAATCCATTGGGTCGCCGGATTCTGGCCGAAATTTACCCTCAATAAAAACTTTAGTAGGGGGCTCTTTTGAAGAGCCCGCACGTTTCCCAACCTTGACAACGCTGGAGCCCCAATATATCCCACCTTCATTTCGCCGTGCAGCCACTTTCGGACACCTTTCGCCCGCTAGCTCAAAAGACTTGCCAAGCCTTTCGCTCAAGCCCATTACTGGTGGACCGCAAAACACTATTTGGGCACCACAGTTGAACGCTGAGTGCTCTCAGTCTCAGTCCCCTGGTGACACTAGCTCTCACTTTACAGGAAGCCCTGCTGCGGGGTATCCTACGCCAGTAGAGCCTGGGAAAGATGAGCCTGAAGAGCCATTACCCTTTAACAAGCGTGTTAAAACTTCCACGCCCCAAAATACAGGCGGCTTCAAGTGCGACTACCCTGGCTGTACCGCGGAACCGTTTCAGACCCAGTATCTTCTCAAGTAAGCATATGATAACAAAACTTTTATGAAGGGCCACGAACTTACTTATCTTACAGCTCTCATGCAAATGTACATTCCGATAACAGACCATATTATTGTCCCGTGAAAGACTGTTCTCGAAGTAAAGGCCGTAGGGGGTTCAAACGGAAAAATGAAATGATACGGCATGGCCTAGTCCATGACTCTCCCGGGTATATCTGTCCATTTTGTTCGGATCAACAACGGCGTTATCCTCGGCCAGACAATCTCCAGCGGTAAGTTACAATATGGACATTTGCGGCACTCCTGTTGTATTAACATCTGTGGCTAGGCACGTTCGAGCGCAGCACCCAGATAAAGATAAAGAAGATCCATTGCTACGAGAAGTCCTCTCCATTAGGGTCAGAAGGTGTAGCCCGAGGTCGGCGCCGGCGGGCATGAATTTCCTCAATTTTGTTGCATTTTCGCCTTCACACTTCGATGGTGTCAATTTTGGTATCTCACTTTTGGGCTATCCCGGCAATGCCAGGGTGTGGTTATCGGAGTAAAGGTAGCCTGTTTGCGAATCCTGGATTCGTTATATATTAATTGCTTCGATTGAAGTACCTCAACCCCATTTCAGTCGTTACGGAGTTTCGAGGGGAAAAGAAGACATGTGACGAGTCACGACTTTGCATATATTATCTTCGTATATATGTTTATGCTTTTTATCTTCATGGAAGACGTCTGGGTTGCGGTTTTCCCTTTCCTGATCTCACATGGAAAAGAAGTCCAAAAGTACCCTTACAGATCCATCCCTTCATGGGGCCTGCTGCACATATACTTCCTGTTTGGTTTTCTTCGCTTACTCCAATTTCAAGCATATGATCTCTTTGGGCCTGTTATCAATATTGGGGTTAGGTGTTATATATAGCCTGGCTAGCATTGCTGGATAAGGTATTTCACAGAAGGACATATGAAGTCTGGCTGGAATTTAGTATATGACTTCTACACCCTCTCGCATTATTAGCCTCTTTGATAGAATTCTCTTTTTTTTGTTTGCTTGCAACAGGAACATATAAATGTACGAGCTTGGGATTGAATTGACTAGACGCAGATTCCATAACCTTTTGATCCACTACCTAAGGAAGTGTTTACGTTACGAGGAAGATTATACCAGGATAGTTCATGAATTACTCATGTTATTTTTTATTTGCCCTCTGATGGTTGCTGTGGCCAATTGTTTCAATAATGAAGGTGATTTAAGGCGTGTCAAGGTATTCAAAATTATATCTGATAATATCTATCAACTAGTCCAAAAATGATAAGGGTAACTATGGCACAATTTCCCGCTCATTGTCGACCAAGAGCGGCCTGGATAATCCATCATCATCATCATCTTTTAGAGCGACGCGCTTGTCTGGGTAAATAATATAATGCTGGGCCATGAAAATGAGGTCGAAAAATATGCTCACGTTACCCAGTGCCAGCTTAATAGGGTTACCGGTAATCCCACTCCAATCATCCTCCAAGGCCGAGTCAATGACAAGCTGTAGGATCGAGAGAACGCCGCCAGAAAAATCAAAGAGAATCTGACCAATGCTCCAACCAATGGTGGATTTGCGCTTATAATTCACCCAGGCCTGCGGGATGTACTTGATCACGGTGACGACGAGCTTCACGTAAGAGATGGTGTAAATCTACGGAGGTCAGACTATGGCAATCGCCCACAAGTGGGGCACGGATGACAGGCCGGGGTGCGGGAAGGCATACGACATCTATCCAGGCCCAGCTCTGTGGATCATTGCCGCCCTTTGACGCCACCCAGACGGTCATACCAACAACAGCGCAGATGCATCCCCAGAATATGCCCGCAACGGGCCTACTCACCCTCTGGGATTTTGATACCTTGAATCTCCAAATCCACGGGAAGAACTGGCTGTATACCGTGGCACTCAGGATCACGGCGTGGACGGCGAATGCAAAATCGTTGATGCGCACCGATGGTTCTGGCGATATTGGGTGCCGTGCGGCGTATTGTTCGCGTATTGTAGGAGAGTAGAGGAATGCGGTGGTATAGATGGCGTAGCAGATGAAGCCTAGGACATTGGTTGTTGGGAAGTCGATCGCTAACCCGTGAGTGGAACGGCGGCGCCAGTTAAGGATCGGCTGAGGGTAGAATGAGGCGGACCAGCAAAACATACTAGAATGGGCATCGTGTTAGAGCACAATAAGGACGCAACGGAAGAGGCACGTACTATATCCAGCCGATCAGGCTGTGGGTTGAATACCAATATCAGCGTCTATCCTGAAAGTTTGGAGGCGCATAGTTACCGTGATATCGCCCTGGCAAACACTTCGCCCTGTGAGGCCATTTCAAAAGCGGATAGACCAGGTGGCACAGCTCCAGAAATATCGCCTGGAGGGCCGCGGGTTGTGCTCTGTATTATATGGTCAGATGAGCCGAAGCGCAGGCGATGGTCCGTGCGCCGCTGGGTCTCGTGACCCTGACCTGGCTTATCTTATCAGATGCGGCGTAACAATACGGTCCGAAACTTTCCAAACTTACTATATCTGCTTACCTAAGCAGGGCGTTGGCCTGGATATGAGCTGGCGACGCTAAGCCCGATACGGCAAACCGTTGTTGGTTTCCCCGCCAGCGAGCTGCCCGACGTGCCTCGAGCTCCAGCGCACGGCAGATGAAACCGCAAGATTGACGCCTCCTGGGTCGAATTGCGTTTTTTCGACGAGATCTGTACTCTTCCCTCTCTGATCCTACGCCTCCTCAGCCTGCAGCAGGTCGCCTTATTCCTACAATACTCGAGGTTCGCCTCGCAGCCGCTCATTCACCGCTCCGCTTGAGGTATTCATACTTGACATTCAGCTGAAACCACTCGCTTTTTTCTAGCCCAGTCGCTACCCGAGTGAGGCAGCAATAAGCCACTCTTTATCGGTCAACTACCAACCTATATATCTATTTGAACGACCACCCGTCCGATCGCACCGGATTTGAGAACGAATGGTCTATGCCCCGGAGCGAGGGGTCTATAAAGATCACCTCTGCTGACTCCGACGGGGCGCGACGGTACAAGTGCCATATTACAGCATTGCTGAACCCTTGAGATACGACTTTGAGCAATGTCTCCCTTCCCGCAGCTAGCTCCGCCGGGGAGCAGCACATACTCCAGTAAAACATTGAATGTTGGAGACGGAACATGGGACTCGCAGCGGAATACCTTCCTCTTACCAAACCTTATGGGCCTTAACTTCGCAACGATGCAATATAATGGTTAGTCATACTCTGCTAAACCGGCTGCCTGCAGTACCATGGGACTCACCACTTCCAGGAATGGGTAACCGATTTAAAAATATGGCGGGATACCACTCCCTCATCCGTGGCCACGGTATCATAGCGGCGATAACCTTTCTCGGGCTCGTTCCTATCTCTATATTGATAGCTCGATTCTATTCACGAAGCCCGTATTGGGCCCTTCGATTGCACATATGGATGCAGATCCTCACTTTACTTCTCACCACGGTTATATTCGTCACCGGCTGGTTCGCAGTAGGCCCTAAAAGAAGCTTGACAAACCCACATCATGGCATCGGACTCGCGTTATACGTTTTGGTCATATCCCAGATATTATGGGGCTGGTTGGTTCATAAGCGGCTCAAAGGCAAACGGAAGATACATCTGCCTTTCACATTAATGGTAAGGGAAACATGGTTCAACGAGATTTCTTTACTAACATTGATGGTAGCTTCACCAATGGTTGGGGAGGGCCACGGCGCTCCTTGGACTCGCCCAAATACCTCTTGGCCTCACACTCTATGGGTCTCCATTGTCTTTGTTCATTCTATACGCCCTGGCCATGTTCGCTTTGCTTGTCGCTTATTTCGCACTTTCGTATCTTCATGAACGACGTGTAGGTCTGGACTACGACCGAGGCAGTTATCTATCTGGACCAGAGGTTATTGAGGACAGGCATGGCCATAGTAATGTCGGTCGACTTGCCGGTGCGGGAGCCATTGGGGCCGGAGCCGCCATGCTAGGTAGTCGATTTCGGAGGCGATCAAGGAGTAGAAGTCCAACCGATGCTACTTCGGAGAGAACGCCGTACGTCGATGAGAAATCAGAGAGTGAACATCAAAGCGGCTGGAAAAAAAGGTTGTTCCAAGTTGGTGGTCTTGCAGGTGGGGCGTGGCTGGCAAAGCGCTTTTTCGATAAGCGCCGTGACCGCGAGAGCGATGCTGAATCCGGAAGATATCGTCCAGCGCACACCGCCACGGAGAGTTTTGATGACGATTATTCAGTGAGTAGGGTTGAAGAAGGACGACCACCACCTCCAAATCACCGTCATCGATATGACGGGCCTCCAAGTTTGCCTCAAAGCCAGTACACCGAATCTGAATTTACGCACAGAACCGACGGAGGGCATGGAGCTCGAAATGCTTTGTTTGGAGTGGGAATGCTCGGTGCAATCAAAGGACTATTCAGGAAGCGTGGGGCTCGGGACGAAGAACGACGCCTTGAAGAGATCAGGAGGGCCGATTTGGAAAGCGAACGCATGATGAGAGAAAGGAGATATACGGGAGACGGTAGGCCGCACCGAAGGGGTGAACGACGATATGCATCCGCTAGCGAGGTGACTGGGCTGAGCGACGCAGATGGTTTGCAATCTACACCAAGCGATGTCCCTCCTGTCCCACCACACCTCCACGAACTTACAGGTTCGGAAACAGTGACTTCTCTCGAGCAAGGACCGGCTCCTAAAACGGCGGCCGCCGGCGCTGTGGCCGAGGGAGTGGCAGGGCCATCAAACCCACACCGGTTTAGCGGGACACAGAATGATTCCGTCGAATCGCCCCCTGTGTCGATCAAGGTGAAATTGCATAACAATGGGCGGCGCGTTACATTACGGCAATTGACTAGAGAGGAGGCGGAAGCAAATCGTGAAGCGAGGCGCAAGGACCGTACGAGATCTGGACGCCGGCGGCGTGAAACCTCGTTATCTGGAGGTGAGGGCGACGATCACTGGCGGCGAGTGGAAGAACGAGAACGGCAACAGGCACAGGAAATGCAGAACGCGAATTCATCCATCGCGAGCGCCGGCCCGTCTGCTCCTCCGCCAGCGCCACCAATCTCTCAACCTGGCGCAAATCCACCGGCAGGCGATGACCTTTCAGCCCCGATACCTCCGCCGCCCATACCAGCTGCTAGGCCCATAACTTCTCCTTTGGCTAGCACAGACTTGAGTAGTAGCTTCGCTAGCCGGAGTGGGCGACGACGGGCAGAGCGAAGAACGCAAGCACGACAGGGAAGTCGTGTGGAGTTTACATGATGAGCTGCCTAGCCGTCAACTCTTTATGCCGTTCATGCACATACATAACGAATGGACATGTGATGTTTTTCATGGGATATACGATGGATGAATTGGAATATTCAGGATATTTGGGTAACCAGACAAACGGATATACATGATAAAGGTAGGTTTTATGCCCTGGCGTTGGATTGGGCGATTTAAATCATCGATTGTGATGTTTCTAGGCTTTTTTCGGAGACTCGATTTCTTTTTATCCCTTTGCCTTTGATATTGAGTTAGTGGCCTCTATGTGTACAACCACTGTTCAAAAATAATTTGTTCTATTTGATTCGATTTACATACTCCCCTTTGGTGCAAACAACACGCCCGCTATCCCTTGAATAAAACCAGTTGATACCATGGACATGACGAATATTATAATGCTCTTGGGACGGCAAATGGAGCAAAGGCTGGACCTTTTGTTCCAAATTCCGGCCGTTATCGATAGGAAATCAAACAGTGGCGCTTTTTGCGAGTCCGGACACTCTTTGAACATACGCTTTACATTGTTTACGAAAACTGTAGTGAGATCGTAGGGGCAATAATCAGGCCGAAGCGTAGATAACGCTGAGAGAAAGCGAACGCAATAGTTCTACATGTTTAGCATTGCAGCATGGGTGTCAGTGAAAATATATATGTACACTCCAGTCTATTTCATGGCAGCCTGAAGGCTTTCCCAGGACCTATCGGACCATGATTAGCAATGATCCCTATGAAATCTGACCGGGAAAGTTGGACTGCTCACCTCTAACTCAACCTTAGCTTCCGCAATATCTTGTTCGCTTCCAGTGCTGGCAACGACCTTCTGGGCTTCAGCGATTTGAGATTTGACAGCCTATGACGTGGTTGTTAGAATCATAGCTTAGAGTCATCGATTATGCCATTTTAACTTCCGCTAGTAAAAGAATTGAACTTACATCAGCACTGAAATCTTCAAGAGGGAAACCTTCGACGGCGTTAATGCTGAGGTTGGAGTCGGGCTGGACGACGGCGAAACCGCCAGCAACTGTGGACGGTGAGAACATGGTTAGCCGCTGAATCAAGTATGCTGCGGAAGAAAATAAAAGGGGTTGGGAGGAGCGATCGGGCCCGCCTTATCACGTACGGAAAAACTTCTTGGTCTGGCCATTTTCTTCGATAATCTCGATGGGGCCGGGTCTCAACTGTTCGATGCTGGGAACGTGGCTGGAGAGAATACCCATGTCTCCGGACTCTGCGGCAATGTTCACTTGGACACTATTAATTTCAATGGCACATATTAGCGTTTATTTTCGTCCCCAGGGCGTCCTGATGGTATAATCAAGCACGTCTTCCCACGGAGGCTGGAGTAGTCGTACACATCGGCGGATTTGTAGATAGTCTAACCGAAACACACAAATATTAGCAAAAATCGTTCCAAATACCCTAATAAGCACATTCAATCGTTCCCGTCCCGTACCTCATGCGGCAAAACTAGAGAGAGCCGTAACTTCTCGGCGACGGCTTGCGCATATGTTCTCTGCTGAATTGGAACTCTGAAGGCGGCGGGCCGTGCTCTCAGAGCAGAGCGGGCGAAGCGCACTGAGAACATTGTGAATATTTCCAACGGGGACGAGACGCGGTGTCTTGAATTGACGGGTGGGAGGGCCTTCGAATTGTCTGGTGGACGTCGTCGGTTTCAAAGGCTTAAGGTTTGGATTGGTCGGGATGGCAGTATTCGGCGCTAGGCCTAATTTGATATATAATATCACGTGATAATATTACTCGTGGACGGGCAGGGCGGTTATCCTGAAAGGAATAACTCAATTAGAGCATACCATCTGGAGATGATAAATAGGCTACCGGGTTTACGGGCTTGCGAGGTATAGATCACTGGGTTTCATAGGCGGGGAGACTGTATCGAACTGAAGATAGCAGGCTCTCAATGCCGCTTTTAGACTCGACTTTTGTGACCTCTAAATGCCAGCTGTGGTCTCGTTTGCCCAATTCCATGAAAGGTGCAGGACTCAGATACAAAAAGTATGTCGCGTATAGGTTCCTAGGTATATCCCTAATATCTAATTAACTTGCCAAAAGCCATCGCCAGTCTGCAGCTCTGGAGATGTCGCGACATGTTTCTATATAGCCTAATCCGGACTAGCGTCTTGCCATGCTAAAGTAAGCGAGATCCCACAACTAGATTAGATTAGCTTGTGGTCTTCAACGACGAGAAAGCTGTGAACGTCCGACGCCGCTATCACCATCCCGATTCTCTCAACAACCCGCATTGTTGCGATCAGACCGTCAAGATGGCCAGTACGTATTCACAAACCTGCGAAAGAAAAAGGAAATTCTCCACGCTGTGGCTAACATTGTGGCCTCGCAGAATCAAAGAACTCGTCGCAACACAACCAGAACAAGAAAGCCCACCGAAACGGGTACGTAACTCGTGATTCTGAGTCTTTCGAAATATACAATGCATGGCCAATGGGACCCCTTTTGCGTTTATCCTTATACTGGACAAACAGAGGCCTTGAGCGAACGTCCAGACAGTGAACAATGAACCACGCAGCAGGACTAACCGGTATATCTATTCGATAGGATCAAAAAGCCAAAGACTCACCGTTATCCCTCGCTTAAGGGTGTTGACCCCAAATTCAGACGGAACCACAGACATGCTCTCCACGGCACCATGAAGGCTTTGGTACGTTCGACCGTTTTTTACTCTGCAGCCAGGCCCTGGGAATCAAATTTGCTCTGCGACAAACGACACCTGCTAACGAATATCTACAGAAGGAGGTCAAGGAGGGAAAGAGAGAGTCCGCATAAACGAAATGAAAAATCGAAATAAATCCTTCAAATGTGCCATGTTGCTATGTCCATAAACCAGCATAGTTTTTCCCGCTCCTGTCTAGCCCACACAGGGAAGAATGAGGGAGAAGGTTCTCAAGCTTTGATAATAATGCAAGATGGGTCGGCGCTGGTTTCTTTTTTCCAGGGTTTCCCGCTTTGAACCGTCACCCCTCTGATCCCGTCTCCTTCCTATGGACTTAGGCGTGCAGGTATTGATATATCGTGGGAATTCACATCCTTAACCAAGCTTGCGTTT